GTATAGACACAGGAAGACGGCTAATGCTATGCTTTTGTAATCTGGAAGTTAATTGACTCCAAGTACTTGCTCCTGTTTTCTTGATTTAAGCCTCAGTTGTCCTAGGTTCCTAGCACCACAAAAGGAAGGTCTCACCGAGGGACTTGATGGACCCAGGGCACACTGTGAGCTACCCTGGCATCTAAATTGGCCAGGCAAAGCGCCATTGATTGTATAAACACACCTAAGTGTAATTGTTACCCCAACGCCTCATGATCGGGGATATAACAAAGTCTGTAAGAGTGGTCAGGGGATGAATAAAGAAGAATAAGGGAGAATATACGAAAGGAATGATGGAGAATCGGGAGGAGGAGGATGGAGGAGAACAGAAGGGGGATCCGAGGGAGAATGGGGGAGAATAGGGGGAAAGAGAATCAGGAGAGAGTGAAGATGAGATTGGAATAAACTGCAGCTGACACCAACCAGCCTGACCCTCCTTCCCTCCGTCGTCCATCCATGCTTTTGAATCTCCCAGTTGTGGGAAGTAGTGCGAAACCACTGACCTCAGGCAGAGAGGTCAGTGGTTTTTGAATTCGTTTTTTTGAATATACAATATACAATTTGAATATTGTATATACAATTTGAATACAATTTGAACATTGTATACACTTTGAATATACAATATACAATTTGAATATACACTAGTCACTGTCCTCCCGTTGTTCATCGATTTGCTCTAGCGGGCCCAGTAAGTCTCCATTGGAGACTTTGTTGTTACTGTGTTTGGCATATCGAATACATCACGGGGAGCTTGCCAGGCTCTGCCGTGCGGGCGAGATACTCTCGGTAGCTTGCCGGGCTCTCTGAGATGGCGGAGGAATCGAACTCTGGTCAGCCTGTTGGCTGCATGCAAGGCAAACGCCCTACCGCTGTGCTATCGGAATATACAACTTGCAATAGGGAGTGCAGTGGATTTGTAGAATGCTTTGGGGGAGTATTGCATTTTCGCAATGTTAGTCTTCCCAGTCCATGAGCAGGGAATGTGTCTCCATTTCCTCACATCCTTTTATTTCTTCAAGTGTGTTTTGTAGTTTTCTTTGTATAGATCCTGCAGCTCTTTAGTTAAGCTGATTTAGAGGTACTTGATTTTCTGAGGCAGAGTTGTGAACAGGATTGTTTTTAAAATATTGCTTTCTTCTCTTTCATTGTTTGTACATATGAAAGTCATAGACTTGAGTATTGATTTTGCAAAATGCCACTTTATTATACAAATGTATTGCTTCCAGGAGCTTTTTTCGAAGAGCAATTAGGATTTTCTAAGTATAGTATCATATCATCTGCAAATAGTGATAACTTGACTTCTTCCTTTCCTACCTAGGTGCTCTGATATCTGTTTCTTGCCTAACGACTGTGGCAAGCACTTTCCATACTATATGGAATAGGAGTAGTGAGAGTGGGCCACCTTGTCTTGCGCCTGATCTTAGAGGGAAGGCTTTTAATTTTTCCCCATTGAGATTGATTATTGCTATGGGCTTTTCTATATTGAGAAACGTTCTTTCTAGTCTCATTTTGTTGAGAGTTTTTGTAATGAAGGGATGCTCTATCTTGTCGAATACCGTCTCTGAATCCATCAGTATGTTTTTTTTGGGGGAGGGGGGAGGGTAGTTTGATAGGTTTTTTGCATGTGGCTAACCAGTATTACCAGCATCTCTGAATCTCTTGATATGGTTTTTTTAGTGGGGGATGTGTTGTTATGTTTGTTTATTTTTTTACCTGTGGCTAACCAGTTTTCCCAGCACCATTTGTTGAACAGGCGCTCCTTACTCTATTTCATATACCTAGCCTTTGTTATAAATTAACAGCCCTTACATTTTGAGGGTTTACCTCTGAGCTCTTAACTCGCTTCAATTGGTCTGATTGTTCTAGTACCATGTGCTTTTGATCACTACAGTTTTGGAGAAAGACAAATTTGAGAGAGCAATTACTCCCATCATTTTCTCAGCAGTGCTTTAGCTCTTCTGATTAACTTTTTCTTCTCCTTTTCTGTTTATTTTTGGGGGGAGTGTGTCTGGTGCACACTGGGCTGCACACATGACTTATTTCTAGGTCTTTGGTAAGAGATCCTCCTGACAGTTCTGGGAGGAGGTAAAAGTTATATGCAGTGCAGAGGATTGACTAGGCACTGACCCATGTGCCTGCCAGGCCAGTGCCTTAACCCCAAAATTGTCTTTCCAGACCTCGGGGAGTTTCTTGGTTTTATAAGAATCTTAAAAATACTTTTTGCATGTCCAGAAAGATTGCCATACATATTTAATTTGTGATTGCATTGCATCTGTAAGATGGTCATCTTAATGATGTTGATCTTTCCAAGCTATGAACAAGGAATATGTTACTATTTCCACATTGTGTTCGATTTCTTTTAGAAGTGAACTAAAAGAACTAAATATTTCTTTGAGTTCCTTTGTTTAACTGGTTCAAAGATACTTGGATTTTTTAAAGACACAATCATAAATGGGGTAGTTAAAATATTTTTTTTTCTTCCGAATGGCAAAAAAGCACATGAGAAAATGCTCTACATCATTAATCATCAGGGAGATGCAGATCAAAACCACAATGAGATACCACCTCACACCTCAGAGACTGGCCCACATTCAAAAGAACAAATGCAACCGATGCTGGCATGGATGTGGCGAGAAAGGGACACTCCTTCACTGTTGGTGGGAATGTCCACTGGTTCAGCCCTTCTGGAAAACAGTATGGACGATTCTCCAAAAATTAGAAATTGAGTTCCCATTTGACCCAGCAATACCACTCCTGGGAATATATCCCAGAGAGGCAAAAATGTATATTCGAAGTGATATCTGCACTTGTTTGTTCATTGCAGCACTCTTTACAATAGCCAGAAACTGGAAGAAACCTGAATGCCCAAGAACAGATGACTGGTTAAAGAAACTTCGGTACATCTACACAATGGAGCACTATGTAGCTGTTAGAAAAGATGAAGTCATGAAATTTACATACAAGTGGTACAATATGGAAAGTATCATGCTAAGCGAAATGAGTCAGAAAGAGAGGGATAGACATAGAAAGATTGCATTCATCTGGGGGATATAAAGTAACAAAGTATGAGATTAATACCCAAGAATAGCTGAGATCAGCACCAGGAGGATTACTCCATAACTTAGAGGCCAGCCGGGTATCCTAGAGGAAAGGGCAGTTCAGATAGAGAAGGGATGTTTGGAGGATCCTCCCAGGAGGGGAGATGCATGTCGAAAGTAGACTATGGACTGAACATGTTTGCCACTCAATGCCCCTTTTGCAGACCACAACACCCAAAAGGAGAGAGAGAACACAGGGGATTGCCCTGCCACAGAGACAGGGGGGATGGGGGGATGGGGGTGGGAGGGATATTATCCATGGTGGTGGAAAATGGGCACTGGTGGAGGGATGGGTATCTGATCATTGTATAATTGAAACCCAAGCACAAAAAATTGTAAATCTACAACTGTAAAATAAAATAAAATAAAATAAAGGGGAAAAAAAGAAAAAAAAGAACCACAATAAACATACAAGTAAAATGAAAAAAAAATTTTTTTTTCTTCTGTATCCTTGCCTATTTACATCGGAAGCAACGGTTTTTTCTTGTTGCTGCTTTGCTTTTTTTTGTGCACGGACGGTGTGACCAGGTATTATACTGTATAGGCTTATAGTTTCTTGGGTTTTTTATCCTTAGGTTTTTATAAGTGCACTATCAAGTCACATGCAGCAGTGTAGCACTGTCCTTCCGTTGTTCATCGATTTGCTCTAGCTGGCACCAGTAACGTCTCCATTGTGAGACTTGTTACTTTTTTTGGGCATGTCAAATAAGCCAAGGGGAGCTTGCCAGGGTCTCTGTGCGGGCGGGATACACTCTGTAGTTTGCCGGGCTCTCCGAGAGGGACAGAGCACTCGAATCAGAGTCGGCCATGTGCAAGGCAAACGCCCTACTCGGTGTGCTAGCGCTCAAGCCCATATAGTAAGGTAAAAAAAAAATAAGGTTAAAGCACAATAAAAATGTACAAGTTTAAAGCATTTGGGCTCTGGTCCCTCCTTCAGTCAGGGGACCTGTATCTCCCTGTTGCTTTCTGCCCTACCCACTGGAATTTGGGCCTTCCAAGGGTGGGTCTCAGCCCATCCTTTGTACTCTACAAAGGGTGCCCAATATGGACAGGGCCACAGAGTCCTAGACTGTTCTCAGTGTCCTCTGGGGCAGTGGCCACGCCCCCTCAGCGCCTCCAGCTCCCTTTGCACCCTGTGCTCACCCCATCTCTCTCTTCTTTTTCTAAAATTAAAACTTTTTAGTTGAATCACTGAGATACAGTTACAAAGCTTTCATTACTGAGTTTCAGTCGTGCAAGCAGTGATGGAGCACCCATCCCTCCACCTCTGTGCATTTTCCACCACCGAAGTCCCCATTCTCCCTCGGCCACCCCCACCCATCCCACTCCCTGCCCTTCTGGCAGGCACCTTCCTCCTTAATTGCTCTCTTCTTTGGGGCATAATGGCTGGTAATGCCATTATGTCTCTTCTGTGGAGTGTGGACCATCTTCTCCAGCAGCATTGATTGGGTTTCAAAGGCTGTCATGCCCCTTGCCCCTCCACTCCCTCCCACCTTTCTCGCCCCGCCCTTCCCCTCTAAGCCCCGCCCACACACCATCCTCCGCCCCTCCCTCCCAGCAGTGCCCCACCCGCGTCCATCTTTGCCCCGCCCTCCAGCTGTGCCCGCTTACGTCCCGCCCCTGTCCTCTCCCCGCCCACTTCTCTGCCTGCCTTTCCGCCATGCCCCGCCCCGCCCACTTCCCTCTCAACCCCGCCCTTCCGCCATGCCCCGCCCAGGTCCTCTCCGCCCCGCCCTCCCGCCTTGCCCCGCCCAACTCTCTCCGCCCCGCCCTCCCGCCTTGCCCCGCCCACCCTCTCTGCCCCGCCCTCCTCCATGCCCCGCCCATCTCTGCGCCCCGCCCTCCCGCCTTGCCCAGCCCCGCCCGCGCCGCCGCGCCCGCCTCCCCTGCGCGTGCTTGCGGTGCTGCTCCCCGCGCCGTCGCCGCTCGCCGCTGGCACCGCAGCCATGGCCGACATCAAGACGGGCATCTTCGCCAAGAACGTGCAGAAGAGACTCAACCGTGCGCAGGAGAAGGTGAGGGCGGGCGGCGGTGCGGGCGGCGGCGCCGGCAGCGGCCCCGCACTGCAGCGAGGCGGCTCCGGGCACTGCGGGCCCGGCGGGCGGGCGCGGCTCCCGCGGGCAGCGCGGGGCCCGCTCACAGGCCGGGCTGCGGGCATCCGGACGCCCAGCCGAGCTCCAGACGCCCACTTTGTTTTCCTTCTCTGGGGTGCTGGGGAGTGTCCCTCTCCCGTTCCCTCGTCTGAGAGGTTAGAACGAAGCGTTAGCTGCGCCCGGCACTTCCCGACGTTTTCGCGCAGAGGAGGGCTGCGCATCTCACGGAACACCCTTGTGCCAGCCGCTCCGGTGTTTCCGTGCCCGTCCTGAACGGGCCACAGTAGGGAGCTGCCCGGGATGTCCGGCTGGGCAGGGCACCGGGCTCTCTCGGCACGGCTCTGGGGAGCTCCCACCTGCGCTCGTCTTGCCGCGGGCGCGCGGCAGCTCTGGCGGCGCGGTGCGTCGGTGCCGCAGCCAAGGACACTGCACGGCTGCGGGCACCGGGCACCGCGGGCGGCATCCTGCCCGAGCTGCGCTGCTCTCACGCCGCCGCGCCTTCTCCCTGCTGGGCTCTAGTTTGCTGCTTGGCTTAATAACAGACGGCGAATTACCCTCTCCCCAATCAGGCTCAGCCCCCTACCTCCACCCCAAACACGGACACACACACACACACACACACACACACACACACCCCTCACACACACACCCTCCCTGGACAGCGAATTACCCTCTTCCAAGTCATGCTCAGTCCCCTACCCCCACCCCAAACACACATACATTCACACACTCACACTCTCCGGGGGGTGGGGGTGTAGGAGGGACACTGACCATGCTGCTGCTCCCAGGTGCAGGGCCCTGTGCGGCAGCCCCTGGCCCCCTCCAGCCACACATGCACCCTCCGTGCAGTAAGAGGATTGTATTTCTTTTAATATCTCCGAGCTCAAAACCATCAATCCCCGACCGACCGCTCTTCCGCCCCACTCTGCCAGCAGTTGAGATACCGTGGCTCAACGCCCCCCCTCCCAGACCTCGTCTCCTGTCAAGAAAATAGCCCCAATCCGCACAAATATGGGCCGGTTTTCATACTTTAGTTCACCCACTGTTTTGGAGAGGAGGGCACACATAGAAGTGCTCAGGGCTTCCACCTGGCTCTGTGCTCAGGGGTCTCTCCTGGAGGTGCTCAGGGGACCTCATGTGGTGGCCAGGATTGACACCACGTCAGCTTTGTGCAAGGCAAGTGCACTACCCACTGTACTATCTCTCTGGCCCCTTTGTGCACTTAAACTATGGTCTTACCTTGCCCTCCTTTCATTCCAAGTAATTAACCTGCATCTTTGGCCTGTAGCTTTTCAGTCTCCATTTCCATCTCTGAAGGAATTTAGAGATAGAGCCTGCCTTTTCAGACAGGAAATTAACTCGTAATCTAGGTCACCAGCTGTTAATATGCCAAAAATAAATGCAAAGAAAACATAATCCATATCTGAGCATTCAGGCCTATGTCAGCTGGCAAACTGACTTTTCCATTGTAGGCTTAGGAGGGATGTGTGTCCTGATGTGACAGGCTGTGGTCACCTCCCCAGACAGTGCAGAGGGGTTTCCAGTGTCCCTCTTTCTTCCTTAGGGAGCATCCTGGTGAAAAGGACCTGATGCCCTTCTTTAGCAGGTCAAGTTCCCTGGAGGGGTGAGTGTGCATTCTGGCACATTCCATTGCTCTGGGGACAGCAGAGGCCAGCGGGAATTCACGGCAGGCAGAGGGCCCAGCGTGTGACGGCCACGAGGCCTTACCTCGTGGCACCTTCAGACTTTGTCTTTGCAGCTTTGGTCCCTCCTCTCCAGCAGACAGACAGACCATTTCACTAGCCCTGTGGCCCGCTGTTTCCCAGGCCACCTAAGCCTGGTTTCCCTCACCACGTTTTCTCAGAAGAGTGGGTCCACGCCCCGACTCTGTCCTCAGGAGGAACCCACAGCATCGGGGCTCTGAGTGCATGACTGAAACTCAGAGATGACTTAGGTATTTTTCAGAAATTTAAAATGCATTCCCCCCCCCCCTTATTGGAAGTCCGTAAAGAGTCATCGAAGAAGGAATGAAATATATATATATATATATATATCAGTCAATCAAAAGACCCCAAAAGATGAGAAAGCACAGCTTTACCCTCCAATGATTTCACTTTTCTTTGGTTTAGATCTTTTCTTTCTTTCTTTCTTTCTTTCTTTCTTTTTTTTTTTTTTGGATTAGATCTTTTTCCCTGTGCAGATGTACATTTATATAACTAAAGCAGTCTCATACTAGATGGTGTTATAACTTAATTTCAAAATGTGAACATTCTTTAAAACACGCGTTTACTTTCCATCAGCATTATAAATGAGCAGTCTTGGAATGCATTGATATTAATGAATCCCCTGATTTGTAGGAGAAGTGTTTGTACACACCCTTAGGTAAATTCCTTGACTTTGGGATGTGGCTTGCTGGTAGGACACATGCCTTCTTAAATAAATTCCTAGAATTATTAGATGAAAATATGCATACTATAGTTGATTGCCTTTTAGAAAAGTCATATCGGTTTAAAGTCATATCAGTTTACATTCTCATCAGAGTCCTTTAGATACTTTCCAATACTGGCTAATAAAACTTAGAACAATATTTAATGGCATTATTGGAAACTTAATTAGTTCTTCCATTTAATTGATTTTTTCCTTTTTCTTAAATTTCATTTTGATTTTTTTTTTAACCACATCCAGCATTACTTGGGTCTTACTCGTGGCTCTGTACTCATGGGTCACTTCTGGTGGGCTCAGGGGGCCGTATAGGATGCCAGGATTCAAACTCGAGTCAGCTGTGTGCAAGGCTGATGCCCTACCTGCTGTAGTATCTCTCTGATTCAGCATTTGCTTCATTTTTAAAAGCTGTATGTTGCACCAGAGCAATAAATACAGCGGGTAGGGCATTTGCCTTGCACGTGGCTGACCTGGGTTTAATCTCCGGTATCCCATAAGTCCCCCAAGTTCGGCCAGGAGTAATTTGTGGGTATAGAAACAGCAGTGACCATGAAAGTTGTTGGGTGTGACCCAAAGAACCAAAAAAAAAATGTAAAGTTATGCATTTAAATGATATTTTAACATACAAGCATAGGCTTGTATTATACGACACCTGACATTGTGTATACTGTGTATGTATATATACGTGTGTATGAATATATATAGGGCTGGAGTGATAGCACAGCGGGTAGGGCGTTTGCCTTGCATGTGACCAGCCTGGCCAACCCAGGTTTGAGTCCTCCACCCCTCTCGGAGAGCCCGGCAAGCTACCGAGAGTGCCAGCATGGCAAAGCCTGGCAAGCTACCTGTGACGTATTCGATATGCCAAACACAGTAACAAGTGTCACAATGGAGACGTTACTGGGCCCTCTCAAGCAAATCAGTGAACAACGGGAGGACAGTGACAGTGATCAATATGTATGTGAATATGTATGTGAAATATGTGTGTTAACCATTTGATTCCATGACATAGGTTCTGTGGCCTATGACTGATCCCATTTTAGAATTCTCTGGGCACCCAGACATGCCTAGAGTCAGACAGTCAGATAAAGCCAGAGTTTAGCCCTGGCTGGTTCAGTGTGGTTCCCCTTGCCAGGTGAGTTCACAGGTGCCAGGCCAGGGGCCTTTTCCCCACCTCTCGTTTCTGCTCTCCGGTCTTTAGCCCTGTTCTCGGACAGTCTTTCCTAGCAGTCCTGTGGCTGCCAGCAGCTGTAGACACGTTTTTCTTTCAGCATTGATAGACGATACTCAGGAGAGCCTCATTGGCTCAAACTGCCTCTCCTTTGAAGAAAGCAGACCTTTCTTTTTTTTTTTCATAATTTTTTTATTAATGAAACATCATGAGGTACAGTTGTAGACTTACAAATTTTTGTGCTTGGGTTTCGAAAGCAGACCTTTTTGACTGAGAGCCAGGACCACTGGTTAGACAGTCACGAGCTCCCTGAAGCTGGGATAGAGATTCCCCCTGGGCCATATGGACCGAAGGTGGCAAGAGCTGGGACGTGAGGACTCAGCAGGGCACATGGCTGTGTGTGGCGAAGGGAGAGTGTTCACTGAGGCATGTTAAAAGACCTTTATGGCTTTTAACATGTTTGTAGAAATAATCACATAATCTTCAACAGTTTAATTAAACATTTTTTTTACATTAATACATGCAATTAAAGTCAGTATTCCTAAAAGGCCCATGTCTTGTCTGTTCTAATCTTGAGCTTTATTTCCCAGGGGCAGCTATTAGTAAGATTTCTCAAAAAATATGTTTATGTAACTTCCTCTTAATCTCTGCATGTTTCATGAACCTAGGTAAAGACTTAGCTCTCTTACTTAGTCCTCATTTCCACGTGCTCTGATCATAGACTGTAGCAAAAATCATTAGCTGCTCAGGTTTATTTCTAAAAGAAAGCATAATTTGTGGAACTTGGTATGCAGCCACTCTGGGTTTGATTTTCAGCGACCCAAAGGGTTTTCCCAGCAGGAATGATTTCTCAGCAGGAATGATTCCTGAGCACAGAGCCAGGAGTAAGCCCTGACACTTGTACGGGATCTGAACTTTCTCGTTGCTGCTTTCATACACCATAAGCATACACTTTGTCTTCCACTGAGGATGTTTTTTCCGGGTTGCATTAGAGATTGCCACATTTAAAATAACTAGTATGAGGACGTTCTTGACAGATTGCTTCTTTCATTTTCTGTCATAACATGCAAGCACCCATTTATATCCTTTCTCCAGGGATGAGTTCAACAGGACATCAGCATTATAGACATTCTAATTTTAGGATGAGTGAAAATTGCTGTCCCTCTTAACAGCATAGCATATTGTGTGTATGTGTGTGTGTGTGTGTGTGTGTGTGTGTGTAATTAAGTTTTAAGCAAAGAACTGTGTGAGGTATGTCAGGTAGTAGGTAAGAATATATAAAAGTGATACATACTGTCTTTTTAAAGTT